CCTGAGATATGTTAAAATACTTTTTGATTGGACATCATTTTAGAGTCTGGTCTGGAGAAGGATCTTTGTCTCGCTTGCTGAAAAGTGTCGCGTGGAAGCGGGGTGATAGACAGCCACCTAGGACAATGTGTGTGAGACCTGGTTTTGGACTCTCAGGTGTACATGTGCTAGAGGGAATTGAGGGCCAGACTGGACTGGGTCTGCTTGTACAGAGACCTAGAGTTACTGGTCATTCCCTATTACCTTCAGTTATGGCTGTTTCACAAGGATTTGTAAGAGGTTTGTTCTCCTGTTAATTTCTGCTATTGTTTTGGAATATCCTGAACCATTAAATCCCTTCCTTTTCACATTTCTGCAAATAAAATCCACAAAAAGACATTCCTTAAACTGAGACTCTGCTGTTGGTGTGCTTGAACTGTGTCTGTTGCAGGCAGCCTTTGTACTATTAAGGGAGACCTAGGCTTCTTCTCAGTGGCCCCTTCAGGGGTGTGTGCTACAGACAGAACAACAAGCAGGGAGAAAGGTGACCATTTTTGCTGAAACCAGGCTTCATGGGGATCTACTGAAGGCTTCTCCCTGTGTCAGCCAATGAATGGATGCAGGACAGAACAATGAAAGGTACAAAATTAATTATTATAAAAACTCAGAGAAAAGTCTATCCAGTCTAATCCAAGTGTTATTATAAAGTGAAAAGTCCAAGCTCCGTTTCCTGCAAACAATGGTCTCCTGTGGGCATCCAGATGCTGGCAGACTCACATCCTATTTTTGACCACCTAAATGAATAGAATGGTCAGTCAGAGCAGTGGGTGTATATACTGCTTCAAACATAAGGTAACCCCAAGAAAATTGTTATCCACTACTTTCCTTTCACATAACTATTGTCCAACATACAGCAAAAAAAAAGTGAAGAGACGGGGCCTTGTTTCGGAGACATCCGAAACCTCCAGTCCGATTCGCCTACCTCCAGTCTGATTTGGTCCGCTAAAAAAAATGGAAGGAGATCAGTCCTTCTCTGTCTAGGTTGATCGGATCACAGCGCAGTTGAGTGTAAAAGGACAGCAAAGTCCATTTACTCTCGCCGGTCCATAGAGCAGAGCGGGCGCTGTCCATATCTGCTCTCTGCATAAACTGAGCAGATACGGATCTGTCATCCACTCTGCTCTAATCAGCAAGGGATTAGCAGACAGATCCCATGATGATGATAATGGAGCCTATCCTGTGTGAGAGGGGCCTTGTGCTTTTTTTTTTTTTTTTTTCCATGACATGGAGTTGGGCTTTAGACTGGATGGGTGAGGCTGAACAAAATATAAAACTTCCTGGTTAATTTACACATTTTGATATTTCATATAGTAACACAAATATGGCAAAACAAGCATATTAAAATGTGAAAATCACATGAATTTAGGATATATGAATTTAGAATAATAAAAGACCTAAAAAATGCATTAGACTTTCCTTTTAACATACAACCTACATGGCTGTGGTTTACAGATGGCTAAATAGTCAACTGGTGACAAGGAAACTTAGTTTTTTACACAAGGTAATTTTGACAAGACAATGCCAAGATCTTGCTGGGGAAAAGTACATGTGCAGAGAGGTATTTGATTTTCTTTCTTTCTTTTTTTTTTTTTCTTTTATGATACATTGGGCTTGAAATAACAATGTCACACACTTGGTTGGATATGTTAGTTTAACCTTTGCTCCAATCAATAAATCATTTTGTAGTTTTTCATATCCTGGTATGATAGAGCCAGTGGTTAGATTTTTCCTTTTGGACAATAGCTTTATGACAGGTTTGGGTAGAAAATAATACCTCTACTGTTAAAAGCTAGTTAAACGTTTCTTCCACTTTCTGCCTATGGATGAGAGCTTAAGTAAATAGTGTAGTTATTCATGAAATCCCTTGAGTGCTATTTGATGTGTATGAAGTCGGGTCTGTAAATTTAAAACATAAAACTTTTCCTAAGAGGCTAAAAATCATATATAAGAAAAATACACTTTAATTTACCTGTAAATTTTGTTCATTGTAAAAAAAAAAATGCTGTGGTACATATACACTTTTAGCTGTTGGAATTTGAAAGAAAAGTCAAATTTTTACTTATGTGTGCGGCGTGCATTTTTTTATTATTTTTATCTTTCTATACATATTTTGGCTGTGTAACTACCCATTCTGGGCAAGGTGAAAGAGCCATCTTTTGCAGATAATTTATTTCCATGCTCTTTCCTGCTACCCAATTCTCTAGCTAGTGCCCCATGAAATACTAGGTACTGGATGTGGATGAGTATGTCACCCTTTCCCTTTTCTCCCCTAATGCAGTGCTCAGAGCCCGAGCACTAATGTTAATGTGTAAGCTCCAGCTCAGGCTGGTATTGAGCCTAAACAAAGCTTGGTGTTGGAGTCTTATAGTCGGCCATGCTCTTGGATGGACCCATTTTGGGCTGTGATTAAGATATATTTTAAAAATATTCTTCCCAAGTATATTTCCATATATTTGAAATACTACAATTTTGGCCATATTCAATATTTATATATATATAATGTTATATATATGTAACATTTTTTTGTAAATATATTCTTCAAATTTTTTTTAACTTATAAAAAAGACATTTTAACATATATTTTTACATTTATTTGTAAATGCATTCCAAAAGTGTAGATTTGTATTTTTAAAGACATACAGTATATTTGAAATGCATTTTTATAAATATTTTTCATATATTTTGTAATAAAAACGCATTTCAGCATGCAGTATATATATATATATATATATATATATATATATTTATATATTTGTTGAAATATATTGAATATGGCCAAAATTGTAGTATTTCAAATATATGGAAATATACATGGGAAGAATATTTTTAAAATATATTTCAAATATATTTTTCTTCCGTGTGGGTAGGCCCCTTATGCAGCTGAGAAAAGAGGTCATGTGATCACAACATTTTATATATATATATATATATATATATATATATATATATATACACATATACACACACACACACACGCACATGTTTTGCCTTTCATCCCTATTTTAAACTGAATGTGTTGTTTTACAAGGAAAGGGTTCGCACATACTTAAAAGTGATTCTTTCACTAAAAGCATTAAAAAAATGGTTACCTGCAAAGAAGATAGTAAATACGTAACTCTTCCACTGTCAAATCACTGACTGCCCAGGTAATGAGAGGAAATTGCTGCCTGCTGCACTCAATGGTTTCCTCATAATGGATCCTACGTCACTACTGTACCCTGTAGGTAAATGGAACCATTAGAGCAGTGGGGAACCAGTAGACCCACACGTCTGCATGTGTCAGTTTGTGAAGAGTTGTCAGGCAGCAAATTCTCTTCATCACAGCAGCATTTGGCAACAGGAGATAGTTTTGGCAACAGGGAGTTCTTTAACCACTTGCTAACCATGCTATAGCGAATGATGGCTACAGCGCGGTTATCCAGTTCTGGGAGGACATCATATGACATCACAGAACGCACCCTCCCCCAGCGGCACGCATTCGGTGATCTCTGTGCCCTATGGACACAGCTGATCACTTGATATGGTAAAAGACCAATCACAGCAGCTTTTTACCACATGATCAGCTGTGTCCAATGACACAGCATATCATGGAGTAAATACAGTTGCCGGTTATCGGCAGCACTTTCCTCATGCTGTCACAGCGTGAGGAAAGTACTGCTGATAACCAACTAATGTCACAGAGGACATCTGTACTGATCATCATCAAAAGAAAGCTCTATTTGTGTTAAAAAAAATTATAAAAATGTCATATGGGTACAGTGTTGCATGACTGCGCAATTGTCTTTAAAGTGTGACAGCGCTGAAAGCTGAAAATTGTCCTGGGGTAAAAGTGCCCAGTAGACAAGTGGTTAAAGGGTAGCTGTACTTGTAATGATAATGGGACAGCAGCTACTTCTATTATACACACCACAATACTGGTAACATTGCAGCAAGTCTAAAGCCTGGTACACATTATAAGTTTCTTTTTGTTCAACCTGGTGGGCTGATCTGATGCTGGCCTGCTGCTGGTTTTCCAGCATGCTGGTTCAACAGAAGCTGGTCATGAGATCAGCTTCTGATGGGCAGGCAGCTGTACATATGGGCCGAAAGTTGGGCGGTTTCTACTGCATCTGCTGATTTCGGTTGCTATTCGGCCATGTGTACCCGGCATAACTCTTGGCTCCAACTGCTGTAGAAACAGCAGTAGCTGAGGGTCAATTATCCCACTCCACCCTTGCTGCTGTTTCACAAATTAACATATTATGTAGACCTGCACTATTTTTCAGAGAGTTCAGTGCTTATTTATAATCACTCATTTATATGATCAAAATTAATGAATGCCTTTCACAAAATGTGAATGGGACTGAATTTTTTTCTGCTAACAAATTTTTACACAACTGTATATTGGTCAGAAATGTCTAAGCCTTGGTTCACGCTTTACACAACATGTGAATCGCACAGGAACCGCACCACATTAATCTGATCCTAGGGTAAAGATGAATAAAACCTATATACTTAAACATCTACCTTGCAATGGTAAATTCATTTTTGTCATATCAAAAATTCAAACCATGCCATAAACACATATATTCATGATATTCTAATGTTAATGTACTGAATACAGAATAAAGACAGTGAAGGTGTGCCTCTTGTATAGCAGAAAATTTCGATTCATTATACATGTACATCATATTCTGTTCTGTAAAATATTTCTGAAAACCACATCATTTTGCTGCTATTGATACACTGATGACAGGCAAACAATGGGTCACTTATGCAAACAAATGTGTGCTACTGCAGAGAAACGCCTGCTTAACTCTTTGCTGAGTTTTGAAAGTTTTTTTTTTTTTTAAATTTCTGTAGGGACTGCAGCTATGTCATATACACTATATTGCCAAAAGTATTGGGAGCTCCAAATCATTGGATTCCGGTGTTCCAATCACCTCCATGACCACAGGTGTATAAAATCAAGCACCTAGGCATGCAGACTGCTTCTACAAACATTTGTGAAAGAATGAGGAGCTCAGAGAATTCAAGTGTGGTACCACAATAGGTTGCCACCTGTGCGGTAAGTCCATCCGTCAAAATTTCCTTGCTACTAAATATTCCACGGTCAACTGTTAGTGGTATTATAACAAAGTGGAAGCAATTGGGAACAACAGCAACTCAGCCACGAAGTGGTAGGCAACATAAAATGACAGGGGTCAACGCATGTAGAAGCTTACAGTGTGCAGAAGTTGCCAACTGTCTGCAGAGTCAATAGCTGAAGACCTCCATACTTCACGTGGCCATCAGGTTGGCACAACAATAGTGCACAGAGAGCTTCATGGAATGGGTTTCCATGGCCAAGCAGCTGCATCCAAGCCTTATAATCACTTATATAAGTCCAATGCAACGCGTCGGATGCAGAGCTGTAAAGCACACCATCACTTGATTCTAGAGCAGTGGAAACATGTTCTCTGGAGTGACAAATCACACTTCTCTGTATGGCAATCCAATGGACATTTCTGGTTTTTGGAAGTTGCCAGAAGATTGGTACTTGCCTGACTGCATTGTGCCAAGTGTAAAGTTTGGTGGAGATTATGGTGTGGGGTTGCTTTTCAGGGGTTGGGCTTGGCCCCTTAGTTCCAGTAAAGGGAACTCTTAAGGCATCAGCATACCAAGACATTTTGGACAATTTCATGCTCCCAACTTTGTAGGAACATTTTGGGAATGGTCCCTTCCTGTTCCAACATGAATGTTCCTACAAAGAACCAGTGCAAAAAGTGAGGTCCATAAAAACATGGATGAGTGAGTTTGGAGTGGAGGAACTTGACTAGCCTGCAGAGTCCTGATCTTCACCTGACAGAACACCTTTGGGATGCATTAAAGCGGAAACTGCGAGCCAGGCCTTCTCGTCCAACATCAGTGCCTGACCTGACAAATGCCCTTCTGGAAGAATGGTCAAATATTCCCATAGGCACACTCCTAAACCTTGTAGACAGCCTTCTCAGAAGAGTTGAAGCTGTTATAGCTGCAAAACGTGGGCCAACTCAATATTGAGCCCTATGGATTAAGACTGGGATGCCATTAAAGTTCATATGCATGTAAAGGCAGGCATCCCAATACTTTTGGCAATATAGTGTATGTGTGTGTGTGTGTATATATATATATATATATATATATATATATATATATATATATAAATTTTCTGCCTGTTTACTGAATAGGAAAGAACTTGGCCTGTTATCTGTTACACTGAGAAGTACAGTGGATGTATACTGTATTTAATATACAGCACAGTGTTCAGGGTAAAGCATTGTGACATATGTAATAAACAGCACAGAATAATAAAAGAGCAGTCTGGAGTTTGTAACACTGATCACAGTCTACATAGTGGAGTGGTCCAGAGTATTTAACATACAACACAATGTACAAAGTGGGATAGCTGAGAAGATGTAGCTACTCAGCCAGAATGGACACTTTTGCTAGTCTCATAGTAAACATAGAGCTGACTACATACTGAACTCTTTCATGTGTAGCACCCTCCCAGAATATGTTGCTAGAAAGGCTTAGATAAATTTAATGTTTTAAGCTCCTCTGTAGTCAGTGGAGCGGTGTATTATTACTTTTAGCTGTTCTGCGTCTCACTGGCTGCAGGCTCAACTGCTTCCCTCTGATTTCTACTGGATTCTAGGATGTAGTGAGTTGAAAGAGGCAAACCCTGGGCCTGAATATTTATGTGGTTTCAGCCAATCCCTGGCGGAGAAGTTGCCTAGTAGGAGGAGTGCATAAATAGTCTAGGGCCTGGAACAGCAGGACCCTTGTCAAGGATGAGAAGACCCAGCCTGAAAGGACTGCCGCCCCTTGGGTGAGAGTAGCTGAAGCCTGTTGGAGTTTATTGAGGTCCCAGCTCAGGAAGCGCTGGGGGGGGGGGCTATTCTCCCAAAGGAGCTGGCGACTATTGAAAATGGCTTCACTGAGGATCTGGCCTGGAGGTTCACAGGAGAAGTAGGAGAAGTGTCTGGCATTTATTAGACAGAGGCATTTAAGCAGGGGCATATTTACCACAAGGCAAACAAGGCGTTTGCCTGGGGTGGCATTTTTCAGGGGAGCAGAACCCCCCCCCCAGGCAAAAGGGACATATGCGGCATGGGGACCAGGTGGGATCCAAAAGAGGCTGTGGGCTGCTTTAGGGTGTATGCAGAGCCCGACCATTTTTCCTGGGGATGTCCGGAGCTGTGAAGGTGAAAGTCTCTTTTACCGAGGGAGGGGGGGTGTTAGTGGAAGGCTCTCTTGGGGGGGGCAGGGGTGTTGTTGGTCGGTGTCAGGCTCTCTTTGCGGGGGGGGGGGGGGGGTCTGATTTTTGTGTTGCCTAGGGCAGCAAAAAACTAAATACACCACTGCATATAAGTACACAGGTACATTTTGAGTATAAGCCTGAGTGCAGGATCCTAGTGACTGATGTAGGTCTAACCCTTTCAACATCTGGTCCAGTGTTGCTGAATTGTGACCTGTACTTGAAGTCCCCGAGTTGCTTGTTCCTCTCTTATCAGTCAAGAGGGAGGGTTATCCTGAAGAGTAGAATCATGTCAGAGAGTGTCTTCTGCTACTTTGTGCAGTAAATCTGGAGAATACCAAAACTTTACCCTACACCTCAAAAAGTTCAAGAAGCATTAACTCTTAAAAAGACACTTACAGCCTGGTTATTGAGTTACCAGACTGTTTGTGCTGTGTGTGTCTGGCTGCCTTAAACCCACACAGGATGAGAATCTGGGACAGATCTGATAAAGCCCATCAAGGGTCTGTGCTACACATATGAGATGGCACTACCTCTCAATTCTACAGCCTAGATTTCTCCTTGAATATAAATAACTATAGGATATGTTACAAAATAAAAAAATCGCCTCGATTCGTTCATAGTCATGTTTACAAATGGAAAACATTTGGCACCATTGCTACTCAGGAGTCCACTACAGAGTCCTTCAACAGGCTAAGAGTTTGCAGGCATCTTTGACACTTGTGAATACACCCTTCATTCTTTTACAGGTAGGAACAGTTTTAATATTTAATTAGTGAGACAAGGTCAATTAATGGTGGCCCCATCAGCAGCTTTTCTCGCCTTTCCTTTGATGTCCTGCAGCTGAACAGAGCAAAGGGAGTGAAATGAAGGTATATGCAGCTAGGGAGGGAAGAAGTTGTGAACTTGTTTGTCTGTATGAGCAAGGCAGAGGTTCACTTTATTCAGGACTATTACTTTTAAAACTACACTGGTTCATCTAAAGCTGAAAATGAAAAAAAAAAAATTTGATAAAACAAGTCAGTATCTCTACCGTTATTCCCACACAATTGCATGAATTGACCAAATGAAATGTAGGGGATTTCAGAGGAGCAAAAAACTTACCTGGGAATTTTTCATGAGCATGAAGCGGTAGTAAACCGTGATAAAAAACCCCTAAATTATCTTCTCCCTGCAAGTTAAGAGCATAATGTGCTAGTATGCGTCGCATACTATCACATTGTGAAAGACTTATCTGAAAATGAAACCCTCCGGCAGAGTGCTGTATCGGCTCCCCGAGGCTTCCATCTTCACCCGATCTTCCTTCTGGGCTCACGAGCTGCGGCCATTTGATTGGCTGAGCCGCGATGTTGTCACTCCCACTCATGCATGAAGGGAATTTCGGCCGCGGCACAGCTCTTTCAATGGACGGCATGTTGTCCATTGAGAGCGCAGTACGCATGCGTCAGTGACATCACCGGTGGTTCTACAGTAAGGCTCCATGTCCAAGCTTTTCTGATTTTTTTTTTGAGCAGCCCCTGAACTCTGCCTATGTTTTCCTATATGTCCATGTACACTATATTGTTTACAGTCGTTTACAGGCAGTTGAGTTTACAGTCTTTTTTTGAACGCACCAAACTTGTGTTCAGCAGTAGATTTTATCAGCGTTTCAAATGCCAAACGCTTGTAAATGCATGTAAACACGGCTAACCGCGTTTATAAGCGTTTGTGTTTGGAAATTTTTTTTAACTCTTCCATTTCCAGATGCTGTCCAGAGCCTTTTTTCATCATGAAAAATGCATGCAAAGTGTTTTCCCGGTATTCAAATGGACCTGGTACACCATACTTTGAGGTTTCGCATGAAAGAATATTTTAAACATTGCTGCAATAATTTCTGCACAGAAATGAGCTGGAACACATCCAAACACCACAAAAAAAAGACAGCCAATCTCAACAAATACTGCTCTCTCTGCTTCTGCTCTCTCTATTTCTCTCAAAATGTCTGAAATAGTTAATTTTTTACAGGCATTTTGGAAGGTCTCCTGAGGTTATCTTTAAAAAATGCTTCTAAATGCAAACGCTCATAAACACGGTATGCAAACACTGCTAAACAGACATTTTTTAAACCTATGTTTTTCCAGCAGTCAGTATCCATCATTCAGAAGTGTCCCATGTACATGGAACCTTACAGTACCTACAGGTAAACCTTATTAAAGGCCTACCTGTGGGTAAAAGATGCAAAATAGAGTTTACTTCGACTTTAACAGTGGGGCAGGGTGAACGGACAGGAAAAAAGGAGAAGCTAAAAGTAGCAAACAAAATGTGCTGCACCAAAATGAAAGCATTGATTTAACAACTCCACACCTACTGTATTGGGATAATGGAACTGCGTATATATAGTAACAGGTCTGATTGGGATTACATTAACAAACAGCACTGACTTTATGACATCTGGACTACAAAGGAGCAATTGTATGATCATGTGGTGCAACAAATGGGCAATCATGTCAATAAATGGGCAGCGAATAGTCATTAGTGACAATATGTGAGCCATAAATGGACAAGTGTAACAATACATGGGCAACAAATAGGCAATATTGACAATATGAGACCAACAAATTGGCAATTGTGACAATATACATCAATAAATTATATACTCCATAATCCATTCTTTTACCTGCTCTCCTTTGGGGAGCTACTAGTTCCGGTATGAATGATGAGACATATAGTTACACAGTGGAACTGTACAAGTCGCAGAATTCATACTAGAACTTGTGGTTCAACAAAGACATTGAGAGGACATAAGGGCTCTTAAGAGAAGTAATGAGGCATGGAGCATGGATGTTTTCAAAAGGTACAGCACACTGCTAGTCCTTCTTAGCAGTTATGACCTGCCTGCATTGCATAGGGAAGCACAGAGACCAGTGATGACACAGTAGGTAGTAAAGTAGGTAGTAAAACAGAAATGTCTTATGTTTGCATAGTGATGTGGGTTGAAAGACGGAACCAGGGAAGACAAAATAAGACAGATTCAATTTCAGCTTTAAAAAATTAGAAGAACCAAACAAAAGTATGTCATCCCTTCTTTCTCCACAGCTGCTAAAGTACAGAATTACTTTATAGCAATCAACAATATGTAAAATGTTTTTATTATACTATGATTTCTTACAGTTTATTAGGAA